CCCCCCCCCCTGAATTTGTGGCTTATAAAGTAATTTGCATATACAGGTGCCCCGCGTGCAGAGCCGAGCGCGGTGAGAGTCAGGGCTGTTCAGGTAATAGGCAGTTTGTGTTCTTCCAGAGAAAAGACAAGCTGAGGGAACACATGCAGCGAATGCACAATCCAGAGAGAGAGGCCAAGAAGGCGGACCGCACGGGACGCACCAAGGCCTTCAAGCCGCGCCTCGCTTCCACGGACTACGAAAGCTTCATGTTCAAGTGCCGCATGTGTATGATGGGATTCCGGAGGAGGGGCATGCTGGTAAACAGGAAGACTTCACCTCACCGACACCATAATGATCTTCTTACACATGAACATTGTTCTAATCCGGTGGCGGCGAACCTCGGCACCCCGGCTGTTTTTTGGAACTACAAGTCCCATGAGGCATTGCAAGGCTCCGACAGCCACAGACGTAACTCCCAGAGGCAGATGCACGTTGGGATTTGTAGTTTTGGCACAGCTGGAGTGCCGAGGTTCGCCACCACTGTAATCTAATCTATCACTCTTCTGATTCAGGTCAATCACCTGTCAAAGCGCCACCCCGAAATGAAGATCGAGGAGGTCCCAGAGCTGACGCTGCCCATCATCAAACCCAACCGGGACTATTACTGCCAGTACTGCGAGAAGGTGAGCCTCGGGGTCTACTACTACTACTACTAATAATAATCCTGCACTAGAACACAGTCATTGAGGGGATTTCCTCTTGGCAGGTCTATAAAAGTGCCAGCAAAAGGAAAGCGCATATCCTGAAGAACCACCCGGGAGCAGAGCTGCCTCCCAGCATACGGAAACTGAGACCAGCGGGGCCCGGAGAGCCAGACCCCATGCTTAGCACTCACACACAGCTCACAGGGACCATAGCAACACCTCCGGTCTGTTGTCCGCACTGTGCCAAGCAATACAGCAGTAAGGTGAGTGACGTTTGCTTTTCCGGGATTTCGGCTTTTTTTTTTTTTAACAATATATTTTTATTAAAGGAGAAGAATGAGGGGGGAGGGGCTTGTCACTCACCTCATAGTTCTAGCCGACCTGTGACAATGATAGAAAAAGGTGGACAAGGCCTTTAAAACCCGACCTCCATCCGACATATCTTCCATACTCGCATTTGGCCACTAGATGGCAGCACTGCGTGTGAATGTTGTATAATGTGCAGCCGGAGATACAAGTATTCTGCTAATACGCATTCCGGTGACTTTGAATAAAGTAATTTTGTTTTATCAGATGGCTGCAATGGAACAGAGGACAGGCCATGATTACAGCTCTCATTAGGGATGCACCGATATTGGTTTTTGGGTATTGAGTACCGATATTTTTTTGTTGGTACTCGCCGATACCGATTACCAGTGCCATGTGCCCCGATTATCAGGAAGTTGGGAGGCGGATCGTGACCCGTCGCCCAGTGCCTGTGAAGCCGGTTTTCTAGCGAAAGAACACCGACTTCAATTCCCGAGGCTGCCCGGCTTTCTGACCAATCAGAAAGCCAGGCGGTGAGTCATGAGGTGCCATCCGGCTTCATAATTGGTCAGGAAGCCAGGCTGCCTAGCAACAGGTGAACCCGTATTCCAAGACCAATCCAAAAGCCGGGCTGCACGTCATGACCTGCCTCCCGGCTTCATGATTGGCTAGTAAGCCCGCTTCACTAGGCAGCATGGCTTCCTGACCAATCGGAAAGCCAGGCGGTGAGTCATGAGGTGCCATCCGGCTTCATAATTGGTCAGGAAGCCAGGCTGCCTAGCAACAGGTGAACCCGGATTCCAAGCCAATCCGAAAGCCAAAATGGCTGCACGTCATGATCTGCCTCCCGGCTGCATGATCGGCTAGTAGGCCGGCTTCACTTGTAGCTAGGCAGCCTGGCTCCCTGACCAATCAGGAAGCCAGGAGGTGGGTCATGACGTGACGCCCTGCTTCCTGATTGGAAAGGAAGCCAGCTCCATGCTCGCTCGGCACTTCCTGTTAGATGGAGATCTCCCTCTGACAGGAAGTTCCGGTATTGGAGAAGGTATGGGAGCATTGAGCGAGAATGTGTTGTCATTTAGAGGCTGTGAGTGTTTTTGGCTGGAAGATCACATTTTGGGTCAGATAAAATTCACTAAAACCTCTTCATTACATTTTTGTTTTCCTCCAGACGAAGATGGTTCAGCACATACGCAAGAAACACCCAGAATTTGCTCTGTTACCGATCACAACGCAGACAGCGATGATCAGTACAACCCCCACTGTTCTCACGGCTGACGGCACGAGTGGGGAGACTGTGGTGGTGAGTGTTGGACTTCCCGCACCTACAGCCAATGACGGCAGAGATTCTAAAGACGAGAAATTCACCGAAAACTTCTGTCATGATGACCGGTTTCGGTGTATTGTTTTATAACCGCATTCTGTGAATGACAGGTGCACTTAAAGTTGTATTCTCTCACCATTGTCCTGATCTCATCCATGTCCCCCACAGACCACGGATCTCCTAACGCAGGCCATGACGGAACTATCGCAGACCCTGACCACTGAATACCGCACTGCGCAGGGAGACTTCCAGCGGATCCAGTACATCCCGGTGTCACAGGGCACCGGCGGCATGCAGCAGCCACAGCATATCCAGCTTCAAGTGGTGCAGGTTGCTCAGGTAACATCCACATACAGTGCACCACCTGTGTAATATAAGTGTGTGTGTGTGTGTCTGTCTGTGTGTGTCTGTCTGTCTGTGTGTGTGTCTGTCTGTCTGTGTGTGTGTCTATGTCTGTGTGTGTCTATGTCTGTGTGTGTCTATGTCTGTGTGTGTCTATGTCTGTGTGTGTCTGTCTGTGTGTCCCTGTGTGTGTGTGTCCCTGTGTGTGTGTGTCCCTGTGTGTGTGTGTCCCTGTGTGTGTGTGTCCCTGTGTGTGTGTGTCCCTGTGTGTGTGTGTAATTGCTGTGCTGTATGTGTATAGGTCATCGCTGTGCTGTATGTGTATAGGTCATTGCTGTGCTGGATGTGTATAGGTCATTGCTGTGCTGTATGTGTATAGGTCATTGCTGTGCTGGATGTGTGTAGGCCAATGTAGTTGGATCTGTATGTGCGTTATACTTAATCGATTTAAAAAAATTTTGATTAATCGAACACGAAAATGTTAATCAGTAACATCCCTAATATATATATAGCTAGCCAGGGAGATCACTCGGGCACCCGACTTCTCATCTATTGCCTGTTCAGCGCACCTGATCACACAAGTCCCATGATGCATCAGTATTAAAGTCCAATACGTCCCCCCTGCACTCCTCACAGCGTCTCCGGCCCGAATCACAATGACGGCGCTCGCAGTGATACTCGCGGATGTCGCCGTGCGCATCAAACAGCAAATGAACAGGAATCGGATATCTCATCATACATGTTGCAGTTATTATAACGGTTATAATTATTGCAACATGTATGATGATTTGTCCGATTTAAATGGTCTTTTATGGTTTGAATATTTTTCTCTGAGTGCCGGCGATTCCCGTTCATTTGCCAGGATGCATCAGGACATTGGTGATGCAGTTGGCATTGATCGTGTGCTTAGTGTGCGTAACCTGCTAGCAGCTGGGCGGATCCAGACATAATTGTCGGGATCCGTCCCGGCTGCGGCGTCTCAGTATACCGCGAGCTGTAGCTCCCTATATACTGAGCCTAGGGTGATGGGAGGACGCTGGTTTGTGTCCTCCCGTTACACTAAGGAGGACTATGGGGAAAAACACTGACCTCGTAGTTCTCCTTTTAACCCTTGCAGGCATGGATGGGCGAGACAGACTGGGAAACCACATAATAGACATTTGCCACATAATAGACTGGGAAACCCCCTGACCTGTCCATCACTGGATGCAGCCAACAAAGGGCAGGAGAGGCCGGGAGTCTGAGCAGCCCAGGTTCACCCACTACAGCAATCAGCCATGTCATTACATTGCTGCTCATGTGACAATAACTGCACAGGGGCAGTTACAGGATCAATTGCCCCGGGGGGGAAGGAGAGAGTGCAGGTCATCAGTCCTATATACTGGGTATTAGAAGAGTGAGCCAGGGAAAGCAAAGAATAAGAAATGGATGATTCGGTTGCTGCAGCACTGTGTGGACATGAAAGCATTGTGCGTTGATGGAAGGTAATGTGGAAATACCGTGCCGCACTCCTTACCGCCAAGCCCCAAAGTACATGCTCGCAGTGACCGCGGATGGCGCCGCCAAACAGTACAAAATACACACGGATGTCACAAGCACACCAATAGTGTTGAAATCATGTCATTGCTGAGCCTGATGAAGGGGACCTTGCGTGGCCCCCGAAAGCGCTGGTTCTGGTGACACGACCTTCCAATAAGCGAACACTTTGGACTTCAACACTATTGGTGTGCCGGCGACCTCCGTTTATTCTGACACGACCTTCACAGAAGTGGTTTTAGATTTCTGAGTTCAGCTTTTCAGACCTGACCGATGTTCTTCTCTATGCAAAATAAAAACAAAAGTTTGACTGGGGGAAGATTAGAACTGCCAATAGCACTCCTGCACCATGGCCAGACCCCAGTGGGTCAGCAGGGGGGCCCGGCAGGAGCTGACTCGGACCCTCTACATCACCCGTGTGTAAGCCATGCTAGAGCAGGGGCGGGGGAGGGGGGATGAATGACGGATTGGGTTGAGGTAACAATAACACGTTTGTGTTTCAGGCTCCGTCTCCGCACCAGACACAGCACTCTACGGTGGACATGGGGCAGCTGCATGAAACCCAGGCCTACACCCAACACGCCATCCAGGTGCAGCATATCCAGGTGGCAGAGCCAGGCCCGGGCACCCAGGCGCCTTCTCAGGTATCTCCCTCCCTCCCTCTCTCCCATTGGTGATCTCGGCACATGTATGAGAGATGAAGGATATTCACATTTGTGGGTTATGTCCCCCCGATTCTGCGCAGGTAGGGGGTCAGTCCCTCAGCCCCTCATCACAGGAAACCGATCAGAATGTCAACCCCTCGCAGATGGAGACCGTGACCTCTCAGGCACAGACCAACTCCGCAGTGCAGCACACCTACCTGTCCAGCGGCTGGAACTCTTTCCGCTACCGTAAGTCGGCATGGAGGAGTAGAAGAGAGTCCGGCCTGCGGCTGTAATGAGACAATCGGACTTCTGTAGCAGGCTGGGGAGACGTTAGGGTGATGTGCAAAGAGCCGTGGCCCCCAGCAGTCACAGTTCTCCATACAACAAAAATCTCTTATGTCTTCCTATGGCAGAGGTCAGAGGGGTGCAGGCGGGGTCGTCTTCTCATCCCCCTGCACCTGCCATTGCTGCCTTTCCCAGAAGTCTGCCAGTAATGGCCATCGGGAATGATGCATCCCTGGTAAGGTGGCTGAGCGCTGCGCCCAGAGGGCGTCTTGCACAAGATGGTGACCGATGCAGTTTGTATAAAAAAAAAATCTTTATTAACCCCTTGGTGACGGGAGACGTACACTGTACGTGACGAGTTGCATCCGGCTCTGTAATGCCGGTAACCGCTGATTCTCAGCAGTCACCAGTCATTAATGGATGGGTCAGTATTGAGGCATTCATTAATAAAATAGTTAAAGTGACATGAAACCCTGAGATTGTGTAACATAAACCAATACTGTAATGTGCGCCTTCCTGTAACCCATGGTAGTTTCCCTTCTCTTTGCTGCTCTTCCTTTTTAAATCTCTATCTGTTCTCATGCTGGGGGAGAACTTCTGTTTTGCAGCAGACTGCCTCGTCTCTGGAATGGATACACGGTGTCTGTGTATAGGCTTGTAACCTGAGCCAGCACTACAGGAAGAGGCACTCAGCTGCAAAGGGAAGTTCTCCCCCAGCATGAGAAGACATGAGGATTTAAAAGGAAGAGCAGCAAAGAGAAGGGAAACTACCATGGATTACAGGAAGGCGCACATTACAGTATTGGTTTATGTTACACAATCTGAGGGTTTCATGTCACTTTAAGCTTTTGTAAAAGCTTCTTCCTTTCATTAATGAGGGAATGAAGACGTTACATACAAATATGGGAGCGCTAAATAGCAGAGAGGGAGCGGAGCGAGTCGCCGCTCTGCTATTCGTCGATAGCCCGATGTTTATGATACATTTCACCAAAGAGATACAATGTATCAGACTTCTGATCGTCTGGGCCGATCAAAGACCTTTTAGCTCCTGCTCACGAGTTTCAGGTCCGGATCTGCAGACGCGGTGCTACTGATGCAAGGACTGCGCACGTGAGAACTGTAGCCCATAAAACACACAGGGATGCATTGGGATGCATTGTGTGCAGCAGCGTACGGATCAGGTCAGCACACAAAACGGACGTCGTGTGAACAGGCCCTTAGTGAGATCTGAATCGGAGACGCTGTCAGGATCAGTCTCTGAGGTTATTATTAGCTGTTCCTAAGTTTAGAGCGGCCTAATAATAGCCAAAAATGTAAAAAAAAAAAACATGAGTTGATTACCTGATAACTCTGTTTCCAGGAATCTTCCAGGACAGCCATCGAGATATAGGCTCCGCCTGCCTGCAACAGGAAACACATCAACCACATTAAATAAATAGACTCCTCCTTCCATCCCAAGTCAGTAACCTCTAGGACCGAAGGCTACCCCATGCACAAAAGTATCCCCTCCTGCATCCAACCTCGGATGCCACCTGGATACACACCAAGGGCGGGAACTGGCTGTCCTGGAAGATTCCTGGAAACAGAGTTATCAGGTAATATATAATAATTATAATCAAAACTTGTGAAAAAAAGTTTTTTCTTCTAGTTTTTTCCTCTCATTTTTTAAAATATTTTATTCAAACTAAGTGAGGCGTGGGAAACATCCACAGAACCTCCAGATAAAGGGGAAGCTGACGCTTGGCATATGGGAATAGATGTTTTTCTGCAGACTTTAAAGCCTCCACAGTCCGGGCCTAATACCCCCGCCAGGATACACCGCCAAGGTACACCGCCAGGGTACACAGCCAGGGTACACCGCCAGGGTACACCGCCAAGGTACACCGCCAGGGTACACCGCCAGGGTACACCGCCAGGGTACACCGCCAGGGTACACAGCCAGGGTACACCGCCAGGGTACACAGCCAGGGTACACAGCCAGGATACACCGCCAGGATACACAGCCAGGATACACAGCCAGGATACACCGCCAGGATACACAGCCAGGGTACACCGCCAAGGTACACAGCCAGGGTACAGCCAGTCCTTCAACATATTGCATCGCACCAGCGTCTCATTTATAGCAAATCATCCGGACATCACCACTAGGATGGAGCCGGGCCCCTTTTAAAGCAGGGGTAGCAAACCTCCGGCCCTCCAGCTGGGGTGGAACTACAAATCCCATGAGGCATTGCAAGATTCTCACGGCCACAACTCCCGAAGAGAGATGCATTATGGGATTTGTAGTTTCACGCCACAGCTGGAGGGCCGGAGGTTTGCTACACACTGCTTTAAAGATTTCAATCACGATAATAAAAAAAGGTGAACTAACTCGTCATCCTCATCACCCCCTTCCCTCCCCCCACCCCCCTTCAGTCCTTGCTGCACTTACCTGTTCAGGTGACATAGTCCCGCTGTCCACGCCATCGGCTGTAAAGGGCCTCAGACTTCATAACTTTACTACAAATCCCAGGAGGCTGTGTAAATGTGGAACGTTCTACAAGTGCATTCGGAGAACCTAATTCAGAATGTACACGGCAGAATGAGGAAAGGAATAAACATGGCTGCTTCTGTCTCATCACCATCTTCTCCTGTGTGTGTTTTCTGCAGCTTCTGAGATCCAGATGATGTTACCCCAGGGGCAGTATGTCATCACCGAGGCAACTGTGGGCAGTCCTGTTGCTCCGGTCACCGGCGGTCAAGTGAAAGCAATACAGGTGAGAGCGGTGATGGATGTTGTAGCGTCTGCGCTACGTGGTCTATGGACCATCGCACCTCCGATGAGCTTGTAGGACGTCCCGATACAAGGCCATGGCCATTAATAACCTGCTGTCCTCCCTTTGTGGATATAACATCCTCCGCTATTCTGGGAGGACTTTCCACAAGATTTTGGAGGGTGTCTGGGGGAACTTGGGCCCGTTTGTGAGGTCAGGTGCTGATGTTGGATCAGAGGACCTGTCTCCAATCCTTCCCAAAGGTGGTCAGTAGGGATGAGGTCGGGGCTCTGTGCAGGACACTCGGGTTCCTCCACCAAACCGGTCACACCGTGTCTTCATGGTGTCCATATATAACCCAAACCGCATGGCCAAAGGATGGTGGACACCTGACCAACACATCTCTACTGGGTACCCAGAACCACAGCCCTTCATATGGAGCTGTCCCCCTTTGGGTCATCCCCCCACTATTTTGGGACATTACACAAGATTTTGGAGGGTCTCTGCGGGAATGTGTGAGGTCAGGTACTGTTGGTGGATGAGAAGACCTAGATCAGGGGTAGGCAACCTCGGCTCTCCAGCTGTGCTGAAACTACAAATACCATCATGCTTCTGCCTCTGGGAGTCATGCCTGTGGCTTGCAATGCCTTATGGGATTTGTAGTTTCAGCACAGGTGGAGAGCCGAGGTTTCCTGCCCCTGACCTAGATGGAGTTCAGTAGGGATGAGGTCAGGACTCTGTGGTTGGTCCCACCATGTCTTTATGGAGCCGGCTTTGTACACGGGGGACAGTCATGGGGGGAACAGAAAAGGGTCCACAAGGCTGGAAGAGCCCAATTGATATAACATGAATAACACACTTCCTCCCTCTCCCCTCAGACACACTATGTCATATCGGAGAGCCAGGGCGATGTGGAGATGAAGAAGAACGGCCATTTGATGGAAGAAGTCACCAGTTCGGAACATCTGGAGCAGACGTCTGGTAATCCCCCGCAGCCGGCGCAGTACATCATCGCCACCAACATGAACGGCAGCAGCGAGCTGCACATCGCCAAACCCTGAGACCGGACCGGGTCCCCGCGTGCTCCCATCCTGCTCGTCGGTGTTTTTGGCCGACGGCACACAAATCCCGGGGGAAGCCAAAACTCCTGAACTCCTTATTTCAGAGCGATGGCAAAGGTATCGCACAAAAGCGATAGCGGGAGAAGAGTCATTCCTGATTGGACGGCAGCTGCACCTCCGCCCCCCTCCCTCCTCCTCCGCTCTGCGGGTGAAGGAAATCGCTGTCAGCGCTATGGCCATATTGGTCCTATAGGAAGGTCGCTCCCCCGCGGAGGCCGGGACACAGTTTTTGTGCTATGATTGTTCCTCGGGGTTATACTGGAACCGCGCCCGGATTTTCCTTCGCGGCTTTCTACTTTTTGTTTTTAATGCAGATCGGCTCGGCGTCCACTTTGGTTTTGTTTTTCTTTTTAGAACTCAGCAGTG